AGCGTTATAGAAATCAACTAACTAATCCACGTAACTGCTACTTTTGACAAGTTGGAACAGTGCAAAATGAGTTCACCCGTTGAGCTTTTTTTCTTTTTCTTTTTTTCTTTTTTTGTATAAAGAGGAAAAGCAAGAAAACTACAAAGACAACTTCCTGGGCAATAGATTGCCCCTCTTATCATCTAAAACTAGACTTTCACATCCAGAAGGACTTCCACTGTACCACTGGATATCCCAAGTCGATTTGATGCTCCTTGTAGCCAGCCAATCTGCCACAAGATTCCCTTATCTATAGACATGACACACTTCAACTCTCCAATCTTCCTCCAGCAAAGATCTGATTCTGGAAATGACTTCATAACAAGGATGAGACCTTACGCATCCCTCTTTAGCTAGTTGGACTGCCACTAGGGAATCACTTTCCAGGACCACCTTTTTAAAACTCTTCACCCATACCCATTCAAGACCAATTAGGAGGCCCCAACACTCTGCCATTAGAGATGATTCTTGATAGATATTCTTTGAGAAACCCATGATCCACTTCCCTGCCTCATCTCTAACAACTCCCCCACAAGAAGCCCGAGTCAAATTCTCAGAGTAAGACCCATCAGTGTTAACCTTTATCCAACCAGCCCAAGGAGGAACCCAGCTAACCTAGAACTCAGTCTGCACTGAGGCAGCAAGACCCGCAGTAGAAAGCATATTATTAGCCTCCCTGATATTGTTTGAAAAAATGGAGGCTTGGGAAAAGATCCCCTGAGGAGAAAGGGACTTACTATTAAATACCAAACTGTTCCTATCTTTCCAAACCAGCCAGCAAATCACACCAAACTTCATCCTCCAATCCTTGTTCTTATTCATCCTGCCCAAATTATTAGCCAACCAGATATCCATATCATTTGCCAAGAAGCTCAACATCTCATTATTATCAATCCAACACCTCCAGACCTCCCGAACCCAAAGGCATTTTCTAAATATATGATCAGCATCCTCCACTGAGTTCTGGCATCTAGGACACAAGTCAATCATTACCATATCCCTGTGGGTTCTTTCTACATTGGTAAGTAGCTTGTTACCTGCTAATAACCAAAGAAAAAAACTGGATCCTAGGAGGACCTTCCCACTTCCAAATAAGGTCCCAATTCCAAGGACTAGTACTCATGCCAGGACTGGAAATGAATCTATATGCTGAATTAACAGTAAACTTCCCAGAGCTGGAAAGGGACCAGATTGCTCTATCAACTCCAGCAAGCCCAATTGTGGGGTTTATCTTTCTTATGGCTTCCAGGATATCATTGTTTAGGAACCTGTTCCAATTCCAGCAGCCCCCTAAGATACAGTCAGACACCTTCCAATTTCTGCAAACTGCAGAAACACTAGATGAGGTCCAATCAATCAGCCTGCCAGTATTAGGCACCCAATTGTCAAGCCAGAATAAAGTATTAGACCCATCTCTAATGATAACTCTGGATCCTTCCAACACCTTATCCCAAACTTTTTGAATACCTCTCCAAGTATTTGACCCACCCCTGCTTCTCCCAAGATCAGGCTTGAAAGAATCATTGATTTTATACTTGCTTTTCAATACTTTCACCCATAGATTCTCCTTGTTGGACAAGATGTCAAAGCCTAGTTTCATAGAGAAGGCTTTATTGACTACCTCGTGGTCCCTGAAACCTAACCCTCCCTCCTTCTTAGGTCTGCACACCTTTTTCCAGCTCACTAGATGGACTTTCCTTTGACTTTGAGAAGAACCCCAAATGAAATCCTTGGTCATCTTCTCCATTTCATTACAAGAACTCACAGGCAGAATTGCTGACTGCATGGAGTAAGCAGGAAGTGCTTCCAACATAGATTTAGCAAGGACAAATCTTCTAGCCAGAGATAAAGAGTTCTGGTTCCATTTAGAAAGCCTTTCCTGCATTCTGTCCCATACATTCCTGAATGTGCATTTGGTGACTCTTTTATGTTGAATAGGGACCCCAAGATACTTACCCAGATCTGTTGTTATCCCCATCCCAAAGTTTCACTAATTTCTTTGGCTTTATGATAGCACACATTCTTCGAGAAGAAGATCCTGATTTTATCCTTGCTCACCTTCTGGCCTGATGCATCAACAAATATCCTCAGAACCTGATTGATAGTATAAGCCTGCTCCAAGCTGGCCTCAGCACATAATATGATATCATCTGCAAAAAGAAGATTCGAAATAGGAGGAGCCTTTTTCCTTAAGAAAATAGGTTTCCAGGCTTTTGAATCTACAGCCATCTGGATTAGTTGAGAAAACTTTTCCATGCAAAGCACAAAAAGTAGAGGGAATATAGGGTCCCCTTGCCTAATACCTCTTTCAGGACATATTCCCTTAGTGACCACCCCATTCCATAATAGGCTCATAGATACAGAAGAAATACAGTGGTGAATTAACTGACAACGAGAGTCAGGAAAGCCAATATCAACTAGAGTTTCAAGGATAAAACTCCAATCCAGCCTATCATATGCCTTTTCTAAGTCAACCTTTATCAACATCCACCCTTTACCACCCTTCTTGGTTCTCATAGAGTGGATGATCTCCTGTACTATGATGATATTATCATTACCTTGCCTACCTCTAATGAAGCTACATTGATTTGGGGAGACAATCTTAGGCAGAAGGTACTTCAGTCTACCAGTAATGATTTTAGATATGATCTTATAAACCACATTACATAAACTTATGGGCCTAAACTCCTTCATGTTTTCAGGACTCTCTTTTTTAGGAATTAAACAGATTAGAATACCATTGACATTCCTCACCTCCTCAGGATTAGCAAAAATACCCTCAACTAGCTTGCAAACAGAACCCCCAATAGTCTCCCATTGGCTTTGGAAGAGAATGGCACTCAGGCCATCCGGACCAGGGGCTTTAAATTTCCCCATCATAAAAAATGTCCTCCTTATCTCTTCCTTAAAAGGTAATCTGGACAGGTCCCTCATCTCAGCACCTGTTAATACAGGGAATTTATTTTGGATAGGAAAGCTGCCCTCACTCACCTCATCAGCTTTGAAAAGCTTTTGATAGAATTCAGTGGCCATGTTAACCAACAAATCAGTATCAAACACCCAGTTTCCCTGATCATCTTTAAGAGCCACAATCCTGTTATGCCTTCTCCTAGCAACAGTTGAGGCATGGAAGAACTTGGAGTTTTTATCTCCATACTTTAGCCATTGATTCCTAGATCTTTGAAACCACATCAGCTCTTCTTGAACCAGGATAGCCTGAAGCTTCCTCCATAATTCCTTCTGAAGTAACTCAGTATTATGATCATATTTACCAAATCTATAGGAGTCCAGACCATTCAAGCGAGAGTATAATCTATTTTTCTTTTTAATTTCCTCCTTGAACACTTCTTGGTGCCAAACTTTAGCTTCAGACTCAAACTGATTCCTAGCATCCAACCAGTTTACATCACCTTCAAAGCTTCTTCTGACTAGTTCATTGAACCTACTATCTGTTAGCCAAGTTGCCATGAACTTGAAGCTCCTAGTGTGCTCTATAGGAGCAGTGTGACCCCCATCACAAAGCAGAATGGGCCTATGATCAGAGTTATAATAAGGAAGGTGGGACACATATCTGTTATCCCAAGCTATACTCCAAGCTTCATTGGCACACACTCTGTCAAGCCTCTCATGGAGTCTACCCCTCTTCCATGTAAAGTCAGGGCCTTTATGCCCAAGATCACTAATTTCACAGTCAATTAGACATTGATTGAACTCTTCCATACTTTTATAGCAAAGATCCATCCCCCCTATCTCCTCAGAAGCCTTGAGAATAGCATTAAAGTCACCCAAAACCATCCAAGGACCAGAAACCCCAGAACTGATAGCCTCCAAATCAGTCCATAAGGATCTTCTCTCCAATCTCCTAGGACTACCATATACAAAGGTGACAAACTCAGAAACCACAGACTCCAAATAAGACACCCTGGTATGAATAAATTGGTGTTGATTATCTAACACCTTCACATCCACCATGCTACCCTCCCATAGCAACCAGATCCCACCCGAGAACCCAACAGGATCCTGTCTATAATAATTAGGAAAACCCAGCTTCCTAATAATCTCCTCACCCCTAGCACCACCAATTTTAACTTCAAACAAAGCCAAAATGCTAACTTTATATCTAAATTTTAGATCTTTAATGAGAATTGGGAAGCTACTCTTACCCACTCCCCTACAATTCCAAGCTAAAACAGACATGAATGGTAAATTAAAAGAAACCAAACTGTACAGAGGAAAATCCCCAAGGTCACCTACTTACCTGGTGGGCTGACAGCCCACCCACCAAATTGGTAGGACTGACTCCATCCTTTAGTCTAACAAGACTAGCATTATAAGCCAGAAAAGAATAGAGCACTCCACTAGATTCTTTTCTGGAACTGGTATTCACCATGCCCCCACCAGTAGGATGAGTTTTAGAATTTCTGGACTTATTCCTGGCTTGCCTTTTGATTGGTCCATCTGTAGCAGAACAAGGAGGTACATTCTCCTCTCCATTCTTCTTCTAAGACTTAATACCAGTCTTGGATCTGTCCTTCCCCTTCTTTAACAAGGATTTCTTCACTCCAACTTCAGTAACTCTGCCACTTTTATGAGGGCTTAGAGAAACCACTACAACATTGGTATCAGCCACCAGAGAAGCCCCACCAACCACAGAACTAGCCACACAGCCCACCTCTTCAAGGTATTTTCTGTTGTCATTCCTGGTATCCATACCACTCATCTCTCCATCCAGACTAATCTTGGTAACCATCCCACTAGGACTAGTGACACCTGAATCAGGGTTAAGCTTCGGTTCCACCCTGGCCCCCTTAACAAGACTGAGGGGGTTTAGCCTTTAGTTTCCTGCTCTTGGGTTGCCTTTGGATCACCATCCAATTTCCAAAAGCTTCCACCTCTTTGACTATCTTTGGATCAGTATCACCATCTTCAGTTACCTCCTTACCCTGAACTAGAGTTTCCATTCAATGCTGAGTACAAGGGACCTGGTCAATAGGACATTGGTCTTTTCTGTGGCCGTATACCCCACACTTGAAACAAATTAGATGGAGACCTTCGTACCCCACTTGATACACCTTATTCCCTATCCAGAATTTAGGCAAGAAAGTCTTCCTCAAGTCTATCTTAACACAGATTCTAGGAAACCTGGCACGTTCAGTAATGACATCCTCACCAATCTCACTCTTCCTCAGGGAATTCCTGTCCACTTTCAAAGTGCGACCAAAGATGTTACCAATTTGCCATAAATGGCGAATGGTATACAGTTCAATGGGGAGACCTGGGATTCTCACCCAAACTGCCAGTTTTTTGACACTGTCGTCATAAGGATCGAACAAGGGCCTCCATCTTTGGACTACCACATAGTGGTCATTTACAATCCAAGGCCCTTCTTCGAGGACATGGCGGTAATCACCATCATCCTGGAACCTTAATAACAGAAATCCATTATCCAAATCAATAGCTTCATAGGAACTCACCAGATTCCAAATCCTCTGAAGTCTGGACAACAGGAACTTGAAACCAACTCGCTTGCCCAATATCTTGATGATCAGAGCCTTTTTCCATTTCTCGCAATCTTGCTTGTGCTCCTCTGTAGAGAACGTTTACCTCGGGCATAGAGGATTCTCCTCCTCAATCTGACCCAAGCCTTCCAAACGATCAGCTTCCTCATCCTCCCGTTTCTGTTGCAAGATCCAGTTGTCGTCTTCGTTATCCGACTGATCACCGTTGTCATTCAGCTTCAGAAGCTTATCCTTATAGGACACTACTCTTGCCCGAGTTCCACCTCTTCCCTCCGTCATCTTCACATCATGAATCATATGATCAAGATTACGGCATCCTGAAACAGCCGCATCATCCTCATGCATCTCCTCATCCATCGTCAGATCCTCTGGAACTTACCCTTTCGGTTTCTTCCCAGTCGGAGAGGGGTTCTCCTCCTCCGTCAAAATCCTACCTCTACCAATCTTAGATCCATCACCTTCTACCCGAGATTGCTGGTTAACACCTTCGATTTCCATGGTTCGAAACAGAAAGCTTAAAAAAGAAAAAACCCTAACAGACAGAAAATAAATCGCACGCGTGAGGCTACGCGTTCACATATTGTTACATAATTTTCTCTTTGTTTTTCTTTTTCTTTTTTATACTGGTCAAGGTGGATTTTGGGTTGGGTCACAGGTTAAGATTGGGGTTCCTTTTCTCCTTCTTCCCATATCCATCTCCTAGTTATTTCTATCTTTCCCATTTCCTCCCCTATGGAAACCACAACAAACATGTGCGATCTAACACCTTCTTTTCCCCTACATCGTCAGTCTATGATTGCATGTGCACGTCGACCTTTTCTTCCCAATTACATACCTTCATCCTGTTAGTGGTCTTTATTGTTTCATTGTTAGGTCTTCATTGTTTCAAAGTTACATTGTTTAATTGCACCATCTTTTGTTTGTCTCTATCAAGATTGTGCGTGCTTCTGTTCTAATAAATCTAGATTAGATAAGCACCCTTAAAATGAAAATAATACAATTGAAGACGACTAGTGGGTGCATAGCTTAAAGCATGAGCTCAAGTATGTGATTATCAAGCAAAGATGTAATTAATGAGTAAGGATGTGTTATAAGTAGTAATAATGGCTCAATAAATGTTGTAATAGAGTTCTTGACCTAATTGAGTCGTTAAAAATGAGTATTTATAGTTTCCACATAAAATATAGTCGTTTGTAGCCATTAGAAATGTTTCTAGAAAGTATTTGAGTAAATATCTATGCTTATTCTAGTAAATTATTCATCACGAAATCGAGTAAATGGTTTACTCGAGTAAATGTCTTGTGTTACTTGAACAAATTAATGATTTACTCTTTACTTAGGTAAATCAGATCATATGAGTATCCAAATTGCATAAACTAATCCCTTTTTATTTCAAACCAGATTTAACTTGGTGAAGGTGTCTGTGGGTTCAAAACATGTTAAAATAGTCCCTAACCAATTTTAAGGGATTAAACCATGATTTAATGAAATCTCAATATGCAACTTCGAGAAAAACTTAGCTCATACAATGAAAAAGCATACTCTCTTACAAACATGTTCTAAGTCCTAAAGTATGTCCTAATGTGATTTTGGACTAAGCACCATGCTTTGACTCTTGATTTTTCTATTTTGACACTTGAATACCTTGAGTGCATAGGATCTATATCTTCACTTTAATTTCACAATCTCCCCTTTTGGTTATTACAAACTGTAAATTGAGAAAAGGAATTAGTGTCGTGTGTATTTAATCACTTAAGTGCAAGTTGTTGGGAACTCGGTTCCCTCAGATCAGCTCAGGGGTCTTTTGTGCGGAAGTCAGTCAATGAGATCCTCGATCTCGGATCTCGGCAATACCTCGGCCTGAACTTCACCAGGTCGGGCAGCGCAGCGGAAAAATCAAAACGAAAAACACAAAACAGGAGAGAGAGAGAGAGAGAGAAGAAGAACACAACCAGATTTAACGTGGGAAAACCTTCTTCAATGAAGAAGTAAAAACCCACGGGACCTAGTCCAGATCAAAAAATCCACTATGAAAATAATGGTTACAAAGAATCAAATACACCAATGTGGTGGTTAACTCAACCTCTCCAACAATGGTGATAATCAAACTACTCTAGAGATATTTCACTCAAACTCTCTCTAGAGATCTCTCAAATGCAAAGCATGAAGCTTTGCTCAAACAATCAAATAATTATCTCTCAAATTTTCTCTCTCATTCACTTAACCTAGCCTCCACCCACAACTAATGAATATATAGAGGATGTGAGATCTAGGGTTAGGGTTTTTAGGAAACCCCTCAATGGGCTTGGGCTTAGCATTGAAGGAGGAAGCCCAACAAATCTCCCCCTCCGACTTCAATGCGTCGGCTTCAGCATCAACCAGGCTCCTTCACAGCAGTCTTCAAATTTCCTTGCTAGAATTGGCTTTGTCATCATGTCGGACCAATTTTGGTCAGTGTGCACCTTGACGAGTTCGAGCTCTCCACCTTCCACCACATCCCGAATCCAGTGATACCTCACATCAATATGCTTAGTGCGGGAGTGATAGGCCGAATTCTTCGCAAGATGGATTGCACTTTGATTGTCACAACCCAGCTCGTACTTGTCTTGATCATGGCCGAGTTCCATGAGGAAATTCTTCATCCACAACATCTCTTTGCTTTCCTCAGTAGCGGCAATGTACTCAGCCTCAGTTGTCGATAGTGCAACACATTTCTGAAGTCTTGATTGCCAAGAGACAGCTCCACCGGCAAATCTCATCAAATATCCTGTAGTCGACTTCCTCGAGTCAGCGTCTCCCCCTAAATCAGAATCCGAGTAGCCTTGCAACTCGGCTTTGCCTTCTCCAAATCGGAGACATAAGTCGGTCGTACCTCGGAGGTTCTTGAAAATCCACTTCACTGCTTCCCAGTGCTCTTTGCCGGGGTTTGACAAATACCGGCTTACCATTACAACAGCATACGCCAAGTAGGGTCTAGTGCAAACCATTTCATACATTAAGCTTCCGACGGCGGATTGGTAAGGGACCTTCATCATCTCATCTTTATCTTCATCAGATCTCAGACATTGCTTCTGGTTCAGCTTTATGTGTCCGGCAAGGGGGGTGCTCACTGTTTTGGCTTTGTCCATGCTGAATCTCTTCAGAATCTTCTCAATATATTTCTCTTGACTCAGCCACAGTAGTTTCTTCTGTCTATCTCGGATGATCTTGATTTCGAGAATCTGCTTTGCAGGGCCGAGGTCCTTCATTGCAAAGGACGAGCTCAACGCCTTTTTCAGGACGGCTATCCTCGATTTGTCTTTCCCTACAATAAGCATTTCGTCAACATATAACAAAAAAATCAAAAAATCTCTGGCCTCATACCTCTTCACAAATACGCAGTGGTCAGCTTTTGTCTTTTCAAACTTATGATCAGTCATGAATGATTCAAACTTCTTGTGCCACTGCCGAGGTGCTTGCTTCAAGCCATAGAGGCTCTTCTTCAACCGACATACCAAGTCTTCTTGGTTTGGAGCTCGGAACCCTTCAGGCTACTGCATATATATTTCTTCTTCTAAGTCACCGTGAAGAAATGCCGTCTTCACGTCCATTTGTTCTACCTCGAGATCTATTGAAGCCGCCATGGATAACACGGTTCGGACCGAGGTCATTTTCACCACAGGAGAAAAAAACTCCTCAAAGTCTACTCTTTTCTTCTGATTACAGCCTTTCACTTCAATCCGGGCTTTGTATCTCGGGTTTTGCCCGTTCTCTTCATTCTTAATCTTGTAGACCCATTTGTTTTTCAGAGCTCGTCTTCCTTCTGGCAACTTGGTCAGCTCATAAGTCTGATTCTCGTGCAGAGACTTTATCTCGTCTTGGATTGCCTTTTTCCATTCTTCTTTCTCTGAGCTCGTCACAGCCTCATCATAACTCTGAGGCTCACCGTCTTCAGCAACAACGGTGTATAGGGGTGTTCGCGGTCTGGATTGGATCAGTTTTGGAAGCAAAAATCATCTGATCCAATCCTTTCGGTTTGATCATATAATCATCCATTCAGTTTTGATTTTTTTTCAAATCCGATCCAATCCAAATTTTTCGGTTTGGATTGGATCGGCTTTCGGTTTTTTGAAAATCCTAAAATTTATTTCATGATTATTGTGCAAATAACATCTTTTGTATATATTGGCTTTGTAAAAAAAAAAATTTAAATACAAAAGAATTAGTAAACTATAATATAGTTTTTTTTTGGCAATGAGATATGAAGCTCTAGAAAGATAAAATTTTGTTGATGAGATGTGACTAGATTTATTCTTGGGTTTAGTTGATGGGTTAATGGGTTTAGAAATTTTTCGGCTATGATTAGGGACCAAATAGGTAGAGGGGAATTAATATATTGGATCGGTTTGGATTGGATCGGTTTTCATCAACTCATCCAAAAATCGATCCAATCCAATTAAAATTTGCGGTTTTTAATCGGTTTTCGATTTTTCGGTTTTCGGTTTATTCGGTTATCGGTTTTTCGGTTCGGTTACCGCGATTTGAATCTGTTTGGATCGATTGATGAACACCCCTAATGGTGTATTCATCAGATGGGTATCTCGTAGAGGGTCTTCTTTCTCGAGTTGGATATCTCAGCTGTTCTTCAGCTTGAGAACCTGGTTCATCATTCTCATCCCGGATCTCATCATCAACTCGAACCTCAGTGTCTTGGTCATCTTCAGCTTGATGCTGATCATCATTTTCTTCATTTTCTTGATTTTCTCCCCCTGCTTCAACTTGGACAGGAGGATTGGGTTCTTTGCGTCTGACAGTAACTTGGACTTTGGGCTTCGAGATGTCATGAATGTTCTCATCTTCATGAAAGATCACATCTCGACTTCTCACTATCTTCTTATTGATTGGATCCCAAAGTCAGAACCCGAACTCACATCTCGGCGAACCAAGATAGATGCATTCTTTAGTCTTCGCATCAAGTTTAACCCTTTCATCTTTAGGGATATGCACGAAAGCTCGGCATCCAAACACCTTCAATTGATTGTAGGCCGCTTTCCGACCTGTCCAGACTTCTTCTGGAATTTCTCCTTCGAGTGGCTGTGATGGTGAGAGGTTGATCAAGTCAACAGCTGTTTTGACAGCTTCTCCCCAGAATGATTTCGGCAATCCGACATTGGATAACATGCTTCAGACCTTCTCTTCAATAGCTCTATTCATCCTCTCAGCAAGTCCATTCAACTGTGGAGTCTTGGGAGACGTCTTCTCAAGTCGGATCCCGGCCATTCTGCAATATGCATCAAAAGAGACGCAATACTCACCACCATTATCAGATCAGACCACCTTCAATTTCTTGCCAGTCTCCCTTTCAACCATTGCATGGA